AAAAATATATATATATATATATATATATATATATATATATATATATATATCCTTAAACAATACCACTATAATGCATAAGTTCAATCAAGCGAATACGACATATTCTTAAAATACGAATTAAAAGGAGGTAGGATTGCGTAATCAGACTCTACCAACTGGAGCATCTGTCATCCTGTTGCACCAGTCGGTCTTTCTCTATAGGATTTTCTGTATTCATGTATCTGTCCTACGTGGCAAATCAAGATTTTATTGTTTTAACAAAAGAATAAAATGGTGCATCATCAAGAAAATCAAGAACATATATGTATATTTATTTATTTTTGTTGTGCGTGCAACCTCCCCTTTCATCACCCGCATTGCTTAGAAAGAAGAGAGGCGGTATGAAAACTTGGTGGAGTTTTTCAACATGTATATCAACTCAATCTTATCATGTCTGTGCTGTTTAAATCACGTGGCATCGATTTTTAACGAATAATCTTGTATTCAATGATTAATTTCATCATTAGGAGGAAAAAAATGAAAGAGAGAGGGAAGAGTAAGAACATGCCTCTTCAAGCATGGAGAGTAGCTTGACCTTCCTTCTCTGATGCTCGATCCGATCTGCCGCCGACAAAGGAGGATGATCCTTTGTCGCCACTGCGGACGAAGAAGACCCTCCTCCTCCGGCGCCGCCGCTAGTGGTAGGGTTTGAACTGTTCCTATTACCGAACTTGTTCTTCTTGAAATGTCCTCTTCCGACACTACAAAACTCCTCCAACAACTCTTGCGCCGCTTTGGTGTACTTTGAGTTCCTCAAGATGTTGATCCCTGCAATGGAGAAGGAAGAAGAAGCCGACGGCGAGGCGAAATGACCAATGACTTGATGTTGCTGATGATGCGAAGAACTTAGTAGACCCTTGAAGTGGTTGTATTGATGGGCCGAAGTGTTAGAAGATGATGAATTACCATCCACTCCTTGGTTGCTTCCGTAATAAATGTTCCTATACTCCTCCGCCTTTGCAGCCGCCGCCGCTTCAAGCGACGAGGAAAGCGACAGCGAGAGGCCTTGTCCTCCTTCCACGTGTACGGCCCCGATCTCAGCTCCATCGCCGTGATGCTGATGATCCGACCACGTGAACTGCTGATGAAGCTGTTGTTGTATAGCGTTGTTGTTGTTGTTGCCGAAAGCGGTTGTGTAGGCTTGATGATGATTTGGTAGTAACATGTGAAGAGTTGATGAGTTGTTGTTGTTGGTTGTTGTGGAGTCTTGCGGCGACGGAGACGGTGAGCGTTGCGATGGCGGTGGCGGTGGAGGGTTCATCGAGAAGAGCTGCATGGCGGCTGCGGCTGCGGTGGCGGAGTCGGCGACATTAATCGCCGGAATATTCTGGTGATGGTGACGGTGTTGTTGCTCCAACAACTGTCTTGTAGTTACCGAATTCGACGGGTTGTAAGACGACGGTAGAGATTGGTCGAGGAGTTCGCCGGAGGCGGCTCCACCGCCGGGGAAAGTGAACATTTCCGACAACATTCCGGTGGTTTCGTAGACAGGAATCTCAGCTCCGGCGGCGGAATCTTCGTCGATACCGACTTGTTGAGGCGGCTGCTGCTGATGTGTCAGAGTGGAGGATGATCGGTCGAATCCATTGGAGAAGGTGAAGATGCCTTGGTGGTGATGATGATGGTGACGATGATGATAATCTTGGGACATAGAAAGATCTGATGATGAGCTGTTGTTGTTGTTGTTGAAATTCTTGATGAAGGGTTGATGACGAGAAGGGAAGATTGTGGGGGTTTTAGCTATTCCCATGTGATCATGAATTCTTCAATCTGCTTCATATCTCTCTCTCTCTCTCCCCAGGTGGGTGGATGATTGATTATGTACACATATCACATATGGTCGGATCCTGCAGTTACAGTAATTAAGGATTCAGACAACAGAAACACGCGTCTTGTAATAATTCTTCCAGAATCTAACACAACACGAACCAAGTCGATCGACAAATAAAAAAAAAAAAGAGAAAGAAAGAAAGAAGAAGAAGAAGAAGAAGAAGAGTCAACTAAATAAGTTTTTTGCTGGGTTTTCCCCCAACCTCTTTTTGGTTCTCACTTTCGTTCATCATCTGTATATCTATAACCCTCGTAAATACATACACGTATACAAGCACGTATATATGTAGATGATGAAGTTGCAGTAGAAAGCGAACTAATATACCTTGGAGCTGCAGATAGAGATCGAAAGAGAGAAGGAAAAAAAACAGATGAAGATGGAACTTATTAGGTATCGTTTTCTCTGCAAAGTCTCTCTCTCTCTCTCTCTCTCTCTCTCGCTTTCTCTTTTCTGGCTCTCCTTTTCTTCTTCTTCTTCCTCCCTGTTAGTGAGAGTTTACTCAGCAAATTCTGGAAACCATTAAAAACAAAACTACAAAACGAAAAGAGATTAAAGAAACTCTCTTAAATCTCTCCCAAAGAGAAAGGAAGTGAGAGAAAGTCTGGGATGAGATAGAAAGATAGGGAGAGCGGTCGTTGTTCTTTCTTCTTCACCTCCCTTTTTAACCCACCATCTTTTATTATTATTATTATTATTATTATTATTTTATTTTTGTCTACATATATTTGTAATTTTTTTATACCCGCATTTTGACGGTGTCATTTAAAATTTTAATTGGAAAAGGCGTCCCATTTCCATAACGATTTTTTTTATTAAAAAACTGGAGTGGCCAAAATGCCCTCGCGCATTGAATGTAACATTACAATCATTAATTATTATTACAACCCTTGATTCGGGATAACATACGTTAATAAGAATTTATTCCGTTACGAAATTTTTTTTATCATATGCCCGGAAATGTCGGTTGCTATCAACATTTTCAAGGAGTTTATTTTTATTTTATTTTTTTGGAAAATAATTTTAAAGCAAACTAAAAGGAATAAAATAAAGATAAGGTCAGTACAAGGTCATATCTCAATGATCCAAACCACCACCATAAATACTTCCAAATTTTTTTCATTTTTAAATTCCCATATCGTCCTTATCAATCATTTTTCTCTTATCGTTGAGGTCATTTGTTGGTAGGGTCAATTACGTAAATTCTCTACTGGTTTTGTGGGCGCATAACAATTATAATACAGATATATACAAAAATCTCAAATCGGCCCTTATTATTTTCATCATTTAATTAATATTTATACAAGTTTAGAATTTATGCCATATACATCAAACTTGATTTAGAATCTATTTGTCAGATTAAAGCAGAGACTTATCAGTGTAAAAGTTCATGAATCGTAACCGATGGTTGTCGTCGATAATACAAATGCATGGTTTGGTATAGCCCCTTCAATATACGATCACTACAGATTTCAGTGGTCGAGATTTGATCAGAACATATTATAAAATTTTAAATAATTAATATAAAAATTCGATATATATATTCTCGGATTGTAAACAGAGGTTAGAACCCTAGAAAACTCCCATCAACAAATTAAGTATGACTACGAAAAGAGCACACGATACTAAACATGTGAAAATGTAACAAGTAGAAATTACACAGCAGTTGGGAGATGATGAAACCTCTCGTCTGCGGATTTTATATATATATTTATATATATATATATATATAAAGGAACGATGAAACAAAGGCTCGACGGCACACGTGCGAGGGTATGATCGGCACGTGGGAAAATCAAAGCTACAAAATTAGGTTTGTGTCGGGATCTCAATAGCCTCCGAAAACCACACATAACCTCTTTCCGGTTTGGTAATGTCGAGATGGGCATGTTTGATTTCCCCTTTCTTATGTTTCTTCTTTCTACTTATGTTCCCGCTCCCCCCCCCCCCTTTTTTGTTATCTAAATAAATATGATTATTATTATTATTCCAAATACAAAATCATGTGCTAAATGTAGTTAATTTATAGGACTAAGGGTTAAAGGCATTAATTGCTTCAGAAGATCTTTGGTTCGAGTATTTTGGGGTATATATCCGATCACCGAATATTTGGGATTAGTAGAATTTAATTTGATAGGCGACCAAGTTGCCATGCATTATGGTCTAGAGGCAGTGCTTGTTGTATGATTATGAATTCTACATAGAAAATTGCAGCATCCGCTTTCTTCTTTTCTAATGTGATACTCCAAAGCATATAATATAAGATATTAATTCGTCTGTTTTGTTTTAAAAAAAATAAAATTTCCGCATTCGATTTGACGTGTGTATCCTACAAACGGTTAGAGACATTTTCGATATGCAATTGTATAGGTTATAAATCCACAATGGGATAATAATTAATGGAAGCCTCGAAAGCTAAATGTAGCAGCCCACTTGTATAAGGAAATTTTGTCCATATGTTACACATATGTTGGAATCTATCATGTCAGAATCAGATACCACAACCACATCAATAATTTTTGTAGCTTCGCAAATTGGGTTTTAACTTTAATTTAATCAAAAGTTTTTATTCAAGTGGCTCTCCCCAATAATACTATATAGTATTAATACTTTTTATTCCGTTTAATTTTTATTTGTTTATTAAAAAAGTAGTAGCCTTTTTTCCATGCATGCATCTATGATAATCCTTCTATACCCATTTAATTATATATGGCGTGTTATTCGATTAGTTATGTTTTTGCATTTAATATTTGGAATAGACAATGTAACCAAATAGACAGTACTGTAACAACAAATTTACAAGCCCAAGCAGTGTTTTTTGCATATGTATTCAATTATTCATGGAAGAACTAGTAATCCAATATTGAAAATTTGTTCAGTAATCTTTCGAAGGTTACATATATAGAAAAACCGAGTGAATATAATATTGTGAATTATATTTGTGCATTTATATGTAGAAAGTGAGGAAATTTGGGAAAACGTTAGTTATATGAAATGATATTTACCGATCAATAATTCGTAAAATACGGATAGGTATTTTAAATATAGGCACAAATTAGACATACGATACTCTTTTGGCAGATCAAAGTCGTAATCCTTAAACATGGCCTTGAAAATAATGTGTGAGACAAGGTTTCGTGCCTTTCTTCCTTCTTCTACCGACGAGATATTTTGTTTTGATCTAATATATATATATATAATTTCAGATATTTATATGATAAACATTATATTTTATAGAAAATAAAAAAGGGTGGTACATGATTTTCTTCTATTATATTTATATATAATTAATTCCTCCTTCGCATCTACAAATTTCACCTCTCGTTTCATTTCCTTTGAATGGAAGAAAATTAAAACGGAAAAGAAGAAAGAGGATCAATAAAATTCTGTAAATAACTTTTAGTTTTAATTCTCTTTTTATTTCTCCAACTGCAAACCGGTTTTGACAGTTGACAGCCCAACCTTCTGCTCTCCTACCTATTTACATAAGATTTTCGTTTTCATTTTAATTTCTTTTTTAAAAAACTGTTGAGGTGAATTGCAGAAGAAAAATAAAAATGGTAAGGTGAATCTTTCACGTGAATCCCACCCTCCATTCACACGTTTGCGCAACCATTAATCACGTGCCAAAGCCCACTTTTTCGCACGTGTGACCGGCCTTCCTCCTCCCTTTTGCGAAAGTTATTTATTACAAACTCCATGCAATAATGCAACCATAAAAATTAAAACACAAAGTGTATTATTGTTGGGTTTTTTTTTTGGTTAAATACTATTGTTGGGTTTATGGTTGCCAAAATATCGTTTACACTTCTAACCCATGCGTCTGCGATTCTTACACGTAATTCACTTCTGGTCCTTATCTTCATCATTCCCTCGTTTCTTGTGTTATGTCATATTAATTTCAATTGTGGAGAAAACGACTATATATATATATATATAAGTGTTTAATTAGAATCACTGTAATCGTAAGTGTGATTATCATTCGGTAAAAAAATTACCATCGTGGAGACACATGTATTTAAGGCTAGAATTATTTTATATGTGAGTGTGTATATATATATATATATTGGTATCAAGAATGAAATATACAAGTAGTGTTCCAATAAATATAATGTTGAACTCTTAGTATATTATGTGAGTCAATCCTTATGAATCATAAAAAATGATGTTTGAATCCCCTATACATTATGAATATCATTAATGTTTAAATTATTAGTTATTTCAAACATTTGGGATATTGTTTTCTTAATTAAATACCAGAAATAAAATGATGAAGTAAATTAATAGATTGCAAGAGCCAAGTTAATTAGCTTAAATTTAATTAATCAAATGGCAATATTACAAGAATACCTTTAAATGTGCACATAGACTTCAACCCATACCTTTCAAAATTAGTGTTTAAAAAAAAACTTTCAAATGATAAAAAGACATTATTACCCTTAATGAAAATGACACGTGTCAAGATGAGAACAAATAAAACAAATACCAGAGAAGTTATGAAATTATATGATTCAAAAAGACATGTGTTAGGGTTTTGAATTAAAAAAAAAAATAGAAAAGTCAAATATTGAACAGTTTCCTTCTTCTCTCTCTTCATTTCCGCAATTTCTCTTACGATTTCTCTGTAACTCTAACGGATAGAGTGTGATTTCTCTTTTCTTCGGCGATTTTTCTTGCGATTTCTTTTTGCAATATCTTATCACTTCAGATGGCTTCGTCTCCTTCATCGTCTTCAACTCCTATTTACGAATATATCCAGGTTTGTATTTGAACTCACCGAGAAAGAGAGATGTTTTTATTAGAATTTCATGTCTGTGTGTTTGGATAAACAATATAGGAAAACAAAATCGAGTAAAATAGGTCATATTTATGTAGTTATATGGATCAGAAAAATAAAGATTTCGGTAAAAAAGTGAGAAACATTGTTTTGCACAATGTCGAGTAATATGAAACTCGAATCACGATTATAATGTTCAATTGAGTCATATTAGGTCATATTAGTAAAGTTCTATAAATCAGAAAAATTAGAGTTTCAGTTAGAAAGTGAAAAATCATGTTTTTCACAAAGTCGAGTCATATTGAAGTTGTCACGGTGTGACAAAATGGTCGTGCTAGTCACAATGGTCATACTTGAAAGATATAACGAGTTAGACTAGTCTGACCAAACTGGTAAAACTGGTCACAACCAGTCACACTCGTCAAACTGTATACGATGCTAATTTGGTCATATTAGTCACACTCGTCGCACCTGAATGGTATGACGAGTTTGACAAGTTTGACGAGTCTGTTAAATCTGATCACTGCTGAAACAAAAGTGATAACAAATGTTAACTTTCTTTTTGCAGGTTTCTTTTGTATATGATTTTAACGACATTCATCATGTTCCCAAGATTACAACAAAGTGTTATCTGTTTCAAACTATTCGTTCTCTTAAAAAGGCTTTAACAAACGAAGAATGTACATATTTCAACAAAGAGTCACAGTTTCGACACATTTTCCATCTTCAATGTGAAGATACATTAAAAATGGTTCAGTTGTCTGTCCTTATACATCGCGCACTAAGGCTTGAAGAAAATGTGAGTGAGTTGTGGTTTATTCTGGTCAGTGTACCCGTTAGATATTTGATCACCGAACA